ACAGAACGCCTACACATAGGACGTTCCCACTTACTCAAAGTTCTCAAAATGCATACCAAATCTCAATTTCACATGCATAATACAATCACTTACCTCAATCCACTTGGTCCAGGACCAAGGGCAATGCACTGATTCACTGTTCAGGATTCAAGTCGACGTACGACAACCTATACAACCATGTACAGCCGTCAGTATACGTCAATTTACGTCAAAACGCGAAAAAACACAAAAATCCTTCCCATCACCATGATGGTTCAGCCCTTGTAGTGTTATTTTAGGATTTATTTTTCTAAATTTTCTTTCTCATTTTATTATGCTTCCTTAGGTTGCCAAGAGGCCAATTCAAGTGTCGTTTTTCCGTTTTGCATCTTTTACTCATCGTTTTGCTAAATAATTCACTCTAGGTTCATTTATGTCCCTAAACACAAGTTATTATTTTCCATTGATTCTAACACTTTCTAACCACCACACAACCCATCTAAGTACCATATAACTACACAATTCATCATTCAAATCATTTTTCAACATCAATTCACTCATTTTTCCTCAAAGGGTCGAATTGTGTCCTATGACACTCCAAGGAGTTTCCAATCAATTTCAACCATTCCACACCTTCTATCATCCTATTTTATCAGCATACGTTCATACAACAACTCATTAATCAATCCCGACACATTTCCAAAAATTCAAGTCATGACAATCCTCAAAATTTCTAAGTTATAAATTCATATTTTTCACCAATAAATTTCATCGCATTTCTAGCTCTAACACATCATTCTAACACATTATCATCTAATACACATTTTCCAATTGAGCTCCCTAACACAACACATCATCAAATCAAGCTTTAGGTTTCCAAAAATTCAATCACAATTAAACCATGTAAATAGGATGGAAACATACTCACAACAAAGGTTAGAAGCTACCCCAAGACTCCTCCAAGCAATGGAAGCTCAAAAAGCTCCATGAACATCCATTTTTCTCCAAAATTTCGTGGCTGTAAATGGCAAATATCTCACCAAATAGAGGGTTTCAAGGTGAATGGATACTACCAATGTGTTTGGAAGGTTGTTTCCAACAAATTTCAACACAAAAATCACTCGATTCGGTTGAGAAATGAAGGATTTATCAAGGAATGAAGATTTGAACCTAAAATGTCTAAAAGGGGAGGGGGGTACGGTTTTGGCAAGAAAAAAGGAAGGGAAAGTGATGGTGAATAGTGGTAGGGTGATGTGGCTTAAGTGGGGTGGGTCCCAGCGCCACCTCACGCGATTTCAAACTCATTTGAATTCCCCTCCGATTCCACTAAACGTTCATAAATTCAAAAACTATTTATAAATTCTAATTTTTAACATTAACCATTCTCCCTTAATTATACTTGATCAGATGAATCCGGAGTTTTCCGGTCATTCGGAGAAAACACTATTTTAAGATATTGCGCGCGCTGTTGGCACGCTTCCCCAAACTGACTTAATTCCATCAATTTTTATCAAAAATCATATTTCCTAACTCAATAAACCATTTATAACTCATATTTGAAACCTAGAGGTCAAAACTCAACTGACACGCTTTACGGTGCAATCGTACCGCGATATTTTTACCCGCGAAAAATACTATTCACTGATTTTTCTGAAACTTGTCTGTCCACTCAATTTTTCGTTCTGAATCCATTTCCAGGGTTATTTTTACCATCTGAGACCTTCTACTCAATTTTTATCTTCCTAGGATTGCGTGTTGGCTAATTACCATTTTGCCTTTTCTTTGTATTTTAGCCTAATCTTCAGGATTTTTCACTAATCCTTCACTTAATTACTCACTTAATATTTTAATATTTGATTTAGAAGTGTGAGGTGTTATACCATCTATATGCATGCCCTAAAGTCATGCCTTAAAGTACATTGTTCTCCCCATGTTTCAATGACAACCTCAAGTGTAAGGATGATCTGCATTACCAAATGATGGGGAGACTATATCCAATGATAGATGTAGTAAGGATTCCTTACGGAATCTCTCGATGAGTCAGTTCAGTACAATTTGCTCTTCTAACAAATCCACTCATAACATCAATGAAGGCATCTCTATACCTGCATCCATAAGGTTCGTACTTTACATCACCATGTAACTAGCCTGATGTCATGCTAGACTAATTTAGCCGACCAATGCCTTATCTTGGTGACTATAGACTAGGAAGAAATTTAGCAAATAATGAAATAGTGTCCTCATGATCATGATCCCATTATAGATCCTCAGGATACATTTTGATTATCCCAAGGGCCTTTATCAATTCAAACACATATAATTAAGGAGAGACAATAATATGAATAGATAAAGTAATGCCCTAAAATTATTCATGAAAAAATGGCAAAATACATAGTGTCATTTGACCAATCAGATTGTCTCTAAGACACCTGTAGTAACAATCTCCCACGAAACTTATTGATTTTATTAGTTTAAAACTTAATTTTTGTTGATGAGTTCACCTTTTGACCATTTGGTGATTGTTGGTAAAGAATATGTGGTGGTTGATGAGATTTGAATGCAACAAAATAGACTACCTAAACCAAGTAGAATTGGTATTTGATCATGAAATTTTGATTTTATTTTTATTTTTATTTTTTAAGTAGGTTGATCCGTCAATCTATCATAAAAGAGCGAACTGGTTTTATTAAACAATTTCAATCTCAATAGTTGATAAACCCTTGGTTTACCTTAATATTAGGTCTAAATATACTTGAAATACATCATGAATTGCATGGAAATTAGGGTTTTACACCATAAAGTTACAAGAATTGAATATCTTGCTAACATCTTGTAATATTTCTTATTTCAAGGGATTTTAACATCCATCAAGGCTTTTTGGAGCCAAAGGAATGCGACAAGATGAGTTCAAGCCTCAAAGAAGCAAGATTCCAAGCATGTGCAAGCTGGAGGAAGACATTTTGGCATCCAAGATAAACATTAAAACACTATAAATGAAGAAAACAACAAGAAATCACTGGAGTAGAGCGTTTTGGCGGCCAAACAGAGCGCCAAAACGCTCCTGCAGCAACAAATTATCCTTCGAAGAGGGCGTTTTGGCGCCCAATAACAACACGCCAAAACGCCTAGAGGCAGACAACAATGCACTGGGAAGACGTTTTGGCGCACAAATAGCATGCTAAAACGTCCATGTACGAACTCACCAGCCCAAGATTCAACTAAGATTTGCCAATGGATACAGATCGCGATATCTGGGATTAAAGTGAAAACATATCAATCTTGATCTATAGGAATCCATGGGAAGATGTGATGAAAGATCATAATAAGGATTCGAAGCTCAAATCTGTCAACCAATCTACAAGATCTTAAATGCAAAGAGGAAACAATTGTAGAATCAATTACAAATCTGATACGGATTCGTTGGGAGATTCAATGAAGGATACAAATTCAATGATTATAAATAAGGAGCTGAGGGTCAGACCAATTGACCAATTCACCAATCCAGAGAATTACACAGAGACCTGAAGGATGAATCCTGTTGCGGAGCGCTGGAACACTGAGGAACCAAGTCAACATCACACCAGTGGAGGCTTGGGGTTCTCTTTTCTTTATTATTGTTTTTGAATTTAGTATGCTAGGTTAAACTTTTATGTAGTTAGGGGTAGATGGAACCCAATTGAATCGTTTATGTGTATGGATTAAATTGTTCTTGAAATTCTTTTCTTTTTATAATTGAATAAATTTATCTGTCTTTAATGCTTTCTATGAGTTTGCTCCTTATAGATTGATTTATGGGAATTGTATGACAATAGGGATGTTGGTGCATGAACCCTGACTTGGTAAATTTATCATAATCCTTGTGATCTAGGGATAGACATAGGGTAATTGTGCAATCTTTAAATTCTTGATTTTAATGCATGTTTTCTTGGGGAATAATCGGAGAACTAGAGTTCTTTCAAGATCACATAGATTTAGGGTAACAAGGAATTGAGCCCTAATTAACTTAGATAAAATTGATTGGCATTATATTAAGAAAAAATTCTTGACTGTTTAATTCATAACATAACGAGGATATTGGGGGAAGTCGAAACCCTAACTACGCTTGTTTTAATTCTTTAATCAATCATCATCTTTTTCAATTGTCTTTTTAATTCTGAATTTTCTTTAATCGCATGTTATTACTTGTTTTTAATTTCAAATTCTTCAGTTACAAATTCTCTCAAATCCAATTCTTGATTGTCCAACTAAAACGCAATTAGCGAACTAGTGCTTGAAAATCTGATCCTCGTAGGAACGATCTCGTACTCCGGTACACTTTATTACTTTACGACCGGTACACTTGCCGAGTCGCAACAATAGGCAGTCAAAAGAGCGGGTGAGATGGTTTGACCCGCCTTTCCACCTCTATAATTATCATTAGTAAGCAAAATAGACTAAGACCCATAACTATAGTATTGGGCCCTTGTTATAAATTTCAAAAACAACATTGACATTCCACTTCAACATCAATAACATCTTTATCTCAAATTAGTTGGGGTCGATGGCATCTATATTCCATATATGAATGCAAAATCTATTAGGAAAGGTCAAGTTCACATGAACAAGGAGATTTTTCTAAAGTTTTTTTTTCTTTTATAATGTAAACTTCTTTTGTGCTACAATTGATTATCAATTGCAAGAATTAAACAATAGATTCAATTATAGTACTGTTAAATTACTTGCTTTGAGCATGACTTTAGATCTAAGAATGGGTACAAGCCATTTAATATTGATGATGTTTGTAAGAGACATGATCAATTTATGTAAGTGACACACTCAATACTAACAGTTGATCCGATTCATATCTAATGGTTCTAATTTATTAATTGAGTCATTAGATCCAACTGAGATCAACGACTATGATTGAATGTAGCACTTATTATTCTTATATTGGTGTAAGTTGATCCTGCCCCATTTGCAAACTTGATAAATTAAATTCTAGACATTTCAAAGAGCAAGGAAAAATGCACTTAAAAGATGGATTTAAAACATTTTGAGGTTGGCATTCCTAAAATTATAAAGATGGATTTATTAACCATTTCAACAAGCCACCTTTATCCTTCATCGCCCAGGTGCTTTGGACCTTCTATATTACCCCTTGCCTATGTCCTTACATGAAACAGAAGAAATAGATGCATTAACTAAACTTCTATAGGTTCCTTAATTTCTGTTTTCCCAATAAGAAGAATCTGTATCACCTATAAATGCATTAGATTCATCTGTTGAGATACTCTGGCTCTGAGTCTCTCTTAAGCTATTTTCTCCTCTCTTTTGGTAATACTGTCGCATCACTTCAAATTTCTTATCATCCAATTCCTCACTTGTGGCTGACACCACCTCTTGAACAACAGTTTTTCCTTCAAGCATGCTTACAACTGAAGACATGGTGGGCCTGAGCATCGGAGAGAAACTGGTGCACAGAAGAGCCACATTGATCATCACCATTACCTCTTCTTTGTTGAAGTCTTCACCCAACCTCCAATCAACAAGTTCCGTTATATTACCTTTTTCTTTCAAGAGACGCACCTGGTAATGTACAATACAAATAGCTGTTGGATTACCAAGTCAATTCACAGTATACGCAAACGAGATATTAAGTTCCAGAACCAGCTACAACATCGAAGATATAACTCAAAACAACATGCTCTTAGCTTGAAGATTTTGCAAAGAAATAATTCGTTGCCTGGCCAAACCCCAGGATTTCACAAAACGTAAGAAAATGGTATCTTCAATTTGGGACATCACAACAATTTTCATAATGATATATTAACTTCAAATTATGTCTTCAATGGTGTAAATATTAACATCACTTTTATTCCAAATTAGTTGGGATCTTCCATCAACGAATCCAAATAAAATAAAAGCAAGCCTAGATGATGGAGAGAAAAATAAATTATAAGAGAGAAAAAAAGAAAAACTGGAATGTAAGGAAAATTTTAACTTTTCACAATACTAATAGTTTTCCTCTATTCTGACCTTAAACATGTTGTATGCACTCCATTTTTCACTCCATTAATTCTTATTTTACTACTTTCCCATTAGTGTGTTTTGGCTGACCTCTTCTTTTCTTCCTACTGGAGCATCTATAGCTCTTCGAAGAATACACCCAAGTCATCTCATTCTATATTCACTCATCTTTTTTGCCACCAATACCATTATAATTTTTCGTCAAATATCCTCATTTCTTATATTATCTATCATTGGATGATCATACATCCACCTCAACATCCTTATCTTTGTTACTCCCATGTTGTGCTCATATTATTTCTCTGTGCTTGCCAACATTCAACTCAGTATAACATTGTAGGCCTTACTATTATTCTATAAAATTTTCCTTTTGCCTTTGTGACCGCACAAAAATCCTGATGTACTGCACCATGTCAGCAAACTTGTTCTAAGTCTGTGACTTACATCCTCAACAATCTCCTTCCCTTTTGGAATATTGATCCCAGATATCAAAATGCACCTTTGTTGGGTACATGTTCAAGCATATTAAAAAATTATTGATCTCCTCTAAACATGGCGAACTCATGCTTCATATATTCAGTCTTAGTTTGACTTAAAGTAAATTCTTTAGACTCCAAAATACTTCTTCATAATTATAATTTAGTGTTAACAGTAGCTCTAATCTCATCGATAAACACAATATCATTTGTAAATAGCATACATCATGACACCTCATCTTGCATATCTTTCGCTAGTTCATCCATAACTAGGGAAAAAAGATAAGGACTCAAAGTAGAATATTGGTGTAAACCAACTATGAATGGAATACAACTTGATGTGCAATTACAATACTTCATACATGTAGTAACAAAATCATGCATATCCTTGATTGCTTCTACATACTTTAATGATATTTTTTTCCTTCTCAAGAATCTACCATAGATTCTTTCTTGGAACCTTGTTATACGCCATATGAAGATAAAAAAAACACAATAATCCATTATAGATCTTCCTGACATAAATCTAGAGACATATAAATCCAGAGACCTCGGTATATATTCTCAAACAAAGTCCGATAATTCTCTTCCACAACTTCATTGTATATCTAATAAGCTTAATCCTTCTATAGTTGGAACAATTTCGGATATTCACCTTGTTCTTGTAGATAAGCATAAGCATACTCTTCCTCCATTCGTCAACTTCTTATTAGTTTGGAGAATCTTATTACAAAGATTGGTCAACCAACTTATTGCTGCATCCCCTAAACATCTCCACACTCGAATAGAGACACCATCGGTCTCAATGCTTTACTAGTCTTCATCTTCTTTAATACCTCCTTAATTTCATACGCTCTAATTCTACGCAGAAGCCTTCAATTTAAATCATGAGAATGTCCTCCAAATCCACCTCATTGTCCATTAAAAAGCTTGTTATTAGATCATCACCGTTTTCTTGACTTTTGCATCTCTAATTAAAAGTTTTTTTTATTTTTATCCTTAATACATCTAACCTAGATCATGTATTTACTATTCTTGTCCTTTATCTTTGCAAGACTATAGATACCTTTTTCTCATTCTTTGCTCTCTAGTTTATTGTACATATTAGAGAAAACTTTACATCAAGCCTCTCGCCCAACTTTCTTGGCATTTTTTCTAGTCAATCTAAACTTTTGCACATTATTTTCACTAAGGCATTTATGCAAATATTTAAAACACTTATATTTACTTATCTCATGCACCTCTTCATTCCACCACCAAATTTCCTTTGTATGATGTTTGTTCCTTTTACTTTCCCTTAACATCCATCTTGCCACTTTTTGGATACACAGAGACATCTTGTTCCACGTCATTTTCACATCTCCATCTAGTTGCCACAGTCCTTCCTAAAGCATTCTTTCCTTAAAATCTGTTCATTTTTCCTCCTTTAGCTCATTTAGCTTTCACTCTGCATTTTTTGTACTTCGTAATACCAAACTTATAAGACCACCAACTTATGTTGCGTAGCAATCCTTTCTTCTAGCAAGAAAAATAATTTGGCTTCAATTTTGACTATTGCGGAAAGTGATGATACATGACTCTCTTTACCTAAGGAAGTATTCCCTAACAACAAATTATAAACTAAAGCAAAGCTCAAAATATCTTCATCAGGCGCATTTCTAGTCCCATAGCCAGAATCTCCACGGACTTTGTCAAAATCTCTCACTACTTCACCCAATATGTCCATATAAATATCCTCCTTTGAATATCTCCTCCTCGTGTGGTATCTCCCTTAAAACCTCCTCTAAATTTTCTGAAATATGGTTTATTGGATACATGTATTCCAACATCGGAAGCATTAACAATAAGGACATTCAAAATTAAATCTCTTACAACTAGATTAACAAAAATAAGCCTATATCTAGTTTATTTGAAAAAAACAACTTTGTCTTTGAAACTTTACCAATCATAATCTCTATTCCAATTTTATTTTTTGTTATGCCTGTGAATCTGGTGCCTTCCACTTCTTTAGCATTTTCTCCCATCCATTTTTGTCTCTTGCATGCAAGTAATATTCACTCTTCTTTGAGCAAAAGCATTTGCTATCTCCCTCAACTTACCACCCACCATTGAGCATTTCCTCCACCCCCCCCCCCCCTCCCCCCTCCCCCCTCCCTCTTTCTTCTCTTAAACACTTGCCCATAAAAGTGTAAGGACCCTATCTCACATTTCACCACACCCTAGCACTGATGTAGGGCCTTGCTCTGGTGAAACAAATTGAGGCCATTTTTTGCTATGCTTGAGCTCCAATGCATTGCGTCAAACAGAAGTGTATCCTCCAATAAATGATCAAATAGTTTATCTTTAAAAAATAAAATAAAAAATCTCTTTATAATTGGCTCGCTACACATGACGCAGTCACTACACATGATGCAACCCTTTTCAAGGATGTCAAAAGATGAAAATAGAATGAAATTTGTTATATAGTGTTGAGATATATAAAGCCATTAATGTAGCTTCTCCCAGAGCTAGCTTTTGGGGTGGTGTATCCCAAAAAGCTTTTGGGTTAGGCTACATTAATGGCTTTATATATCTCAACATATAGTTTCAACTTTCTGGGCAATGTACATAACCATGCTAGATGTTCTCAAGGTCAATAAGATTGGCATGAAAGCAGAGCTTACCCAATCAAGAAGAGAGAAGCATTCTTCTTTAGGATGGCTATTGGAGTTGTGCGTTCCACTAACAATCTCCAAAGCAACAATTCCAAAACTATAAACATCTGCTTTGTCCGTCAAATAGCCATGCATTGCATACTCAGGAGCCATGTACCCACTGCAGCATTGAAAATAAATCAGTAATTTAATTTTTTAAGATCAATGATAAGTGGAAGAATTTGGTATTTCAGCAGATGACCTCTATTCTTTTGTTTCTTCAGGGGGATCATGAGTACAAAATATCATTAAATAAAGGTCAACGCAAGATAATACGAAATATATGAACTCACTAAGTGCCAGCTATTCTGGTGCTTATGTGGGTATTGTCCTCTTCATTGAGCTTAGCCAAACCAAAATCAGATATCTTTGGGTTGAGATCTTTATCCAGCAGTATATTAGTGGCTTTGATGTCCCTGTGAACGATCTTTAGTCTTGACTCTTCATGAAGGTAAGCTAAACCTTTAGCAATACCAACACAAATTCTCTGCCTTGTTTGCCAATCCAATCTCAATTGACGTTTCTCTGGGTCTTCTTTTCTGACTGATAGGCAACAATACCGTTAGTTCATGAATATATTTTACATGTTCAAGATTGTAAAATATTACAGACAGCAAAAAAACTTGAACATAGGGAAAAGTAATTACCAAATAAAGCATTAGCAAGGCTATTGTTTTCCATGTATTCATATATCAGCAACAATTGATCCTTCTCCATACAAAAGCCGTAGAGCTTGACTAAATTAGGGTGTTGCAGAGCAGAAATCATTCCTATCTCATTTATAAATTCACGATTCCCTTGCGCTGATTTAGAAGAAAGCTGCTTAACTGCTACTATTGTACCATCTGACAGAGTGCCCTGCATTTTGGGGAATGGTTATACAGCTTTTGATTACTACAATTACAACATATTACTCACGATGACAAACAATACTGTTGAATTATGCAGAATATACCTTGTAAACAGGACCAAACCCTCCTTCTCCAATCTTGAAGGATTCATCAAAGTTGTTTGTTGCTGCTTTGATTTGCCGCAATGTAAATAAGCCAGTTTGTGAACCTAAACCCTTTAGCTCTGTCAATTGAAGCAAACAAAAATCAGAGATCTATTATATTAGGAAAACCATACATTATTTAGAAACGAATGATATGATTGAATTCATTGTCTAAATCATGTCCGACACACTCAATGGTTATATAAGATGAAAGGTCAAATAATTAGATACCTAAATAAGTTACACACTCAAATTCATGCAAAATCCCATTTTTGTGAGTAAGAATTCCTGAACGTTCTATTTGAAAGGTTGGTAATCAGAATAATTGAAGTAATTTTCTCAGTGATTACCTCCTGCCCTTGAACTTTTTAGTCTTAAACAGCCCTTCCACCATAGTATACCAATTACCAAGATGATAACAATTACTCCTGCAGCCACAATTGCAACCACAACCCTTACAGGTATGCTTCTTCCATTATTTTCCAACGGGGGAGTAAAGTCTGCATGATTATTATATAAGAGTAATACATTACATTTTTTTAGATGATAAAGGTGATGGTAGAAAATAATAAACTTCACAGAAGTACAACTCACCGGGATCAACAGATATAGCTGATATAAGAGGACCATATACTGATCCAAATGGGATAGTAGTTGTTCCTTTCCCAGCCCAATATAAGCGGATCTCTAAGGCATTACTAGTCACAACAGCAGTAAACGTTTTAATGACTGCCTTACCAACACCCCCTGCTTCTTTTACAATATTGAAATCCTTTGCCACCAACTTTCTCTGCCATATTAAAATCCACATAAAATGGTTCACTTGATGGTTACAAAAACAATCTGCTAAAGGATTTGAATCTGGTATCATGATGTCCTCAAAGAGATTAGTACCCACTATGCTAAAGGCCGTTTGTTAAATATTTAATATGGGGATAGGATATTGTGACACACAAATAATGTTATGCACAATGTTACGACCACATCTTAACCGTTGATTTCCGCCAATCAACGATTATCATTTATTGCGAATTAATAATTAATTAATGAGTTTGATTTGAAAAATAATAATCGTTGATTGGCGAAAATCAACGGTTAAAATGTGGTCGTAACATTGTGCGTAACATTATTCGTGTGTCATAATATCCTATCCCTTTAATATGTTGGCAAAGGAGGGAAAATGATGAAACCATGCACCTGAATATAGATGTCAAATACACGCCTTCCCAAGCTACTATATGTTGTATCATTAGTGAACATTATTTCTGCAAAATGGAGATTCACTGTGTAGTTTCCATTTCCAAGACAAAATCCATAATAAGTCAGAGAATTTGGAGAAACACGTGCATCCATGTACAGTTCAGCATTGTCCACAGCAAGCTTTGTTGTATTAGACCATGTATAGTAGTCAGGCTGACCACTATCAAAGAAGTGACCAGCAGTGATAATTGCCCAATTCGTTCCAGTTTGACGAAACCTTGCTGGCCCCATCTCACTCGAATCATCATCATATGTCTTATTTCCATTGGAAGTTACAAGCTTTCCACCACAATTTATATTGATTGAGTACCAAGCTTGGAAAAGCACAAATAGGTGAGCAATTACTAAAGGAATTAACCACTATTGTAAATTACTTTATAAAATGATAATTCTTTTCCGGGTATACTCAATCTCGAAAAATATATAAATACATTAAAAATCAACAGGTTCAAATGTTAAATATTGTTTAACAGTCTAATGGAAATCCATGATAAATTAACTTACTTTTAGGACAGTGATAGTTTGCCAAACATGAAATATTTCCTCTGAGAAGATAAAACGGAGGGGGGAAGAACAAATTAGCACAGTAACCTATGTCTCAGATTAAAAGTTACATATTTCATACATAATTGAATAATACATCAAAAAACTAGCTAAATTCACAAAATCCCTAGCACAATAGAAAAGAAATTGAAGTTAGACCCCATGATTTGTGGTACATATTAACAGAATAGGAAAAACAATTAAAATGAGCCAAATTCTAGGAATACATGTTATAAACGAATTTCCTGAAATAGCTTATTATGCACGGTTTTCCACAATCCCCTCAAGCTAGTTGATAGATATTCCCCATTCCCAGCATGGAAACAATATCTTGAAATACTGAGCTGCTCAACCCTTTGGTAAGAATGTGAGCAAGTTGACCTTATGTAGTTGCATAAGCCGGACAAATCCACCCACTATTTATCTTCTATTTGATGAAGTGTCTATCAACTTTGATGTGCTTAATTGGTCTTGTTGTACAGGATTGTGAGCCATGCTGATTGTAAACTTCTCGTCGCAGTAAAGTTTCATTAGTTCATTCCACTTGATTTTTGTGGAAGAGGAATTTCTAAATTGCTTAAGGAAATCCTCAGTAGCACCTTCTATTTATGCATGACATACGATCTCTAATAATATGAAACTAGGATTAATCAACTTCTTATATTTGGAAACTAAAAAGATAAGGAAACTAGGAAATTAATGAAAAGATACAAATCAAATCCTAAGTATAAGGAAAAGAGTTGTGATAATCATAATCCTAAATGATGGATGTCCAAGTCCCCAATGATGAAGCCAAATATTTTCTTTATTAAATGAAACAAACTCCGAATTGTAGGAATGGTGTAATCTGTTCTTGGTTATGTTCAACTAGCTTGGTATTCCAAGGCAGTAAGACCATCTTGTCCTGTTCCCTAGCACGTATAATTATTGCGAAAAAAAACACATTGCAGAATAAATCTTGAGTGATTTTTTGTATAGAAACAAATCTAGGGACATGAAGGACATTTTTAAAAGTCACTAAGAGGCTTACTTTTCAAGGACATCGCCTACAACTGCTAGGGTGGTCAAAGAACCACAAGTAGCGGCTATTTTCTTACTGCTTGGACATGAAGAATAGGCAGAAAAATTATTAGATGTGTCTTATGGTCAATAGCTCGTAAATCCATAATTTAGGAGTTGGTAAAGGTTGTGCCCGAGATATTTAGTCCAATTGAAAATGAAAACTCACCTCTATATGCCAAAGAACAAGTACCTGAAGGCTTCTTAAGGTTGTCTGTAAGTGATCTCACCCCCTCAATATCTTTCTGGTTAAGACTACTAGGTTCTTGTGGTGTTGATTCACCTTGTGGCATTGCAGAAAGGTGGGCTTTTTCATTGTTCCTTGGCTGTTCTCCTCATTGTCCCCATTCTTGGCTTGGTGGCTTTCCATTAAGCTTCCAACAACATTCATGAGTTTGCGTGCCTTACTGTTGTAAGTGCACCACGAGTCATCACAATTTTGAGCCTTTGACCGAGCAGGTTTTCCTTCTTCAAAAACTGATACATTTGGCACATTTATGCCTGATTAGTTGTTGCCATTAGCCAGAGCTCGCTGATTTTTGTTTGGTTCAAGCATCAGCCCCCTCCTCTTTCTTCACTTCGGACTATGGACACAACTTCCTTAAAATTTGGAACCTTTGCCGAGGTTCTATATCTTGATCAAACTTTGGGTTAAGTCCAACAAGAAAATTATAGACTCTCTTTTTCAATGAAGTCCTATACTATAGCACAACTGCATCATCAAGGAATTTGGTTTTTATCACTCTACAGTGATCCAGTTCCAGCCATAAGGAATATAATTAGCATATCCAGCCTTGGAATTCTCAATTGCATCCCAGATATAATTTGCATTAGTCAAAAACACGCCCATGCCACTAAATTTAGGAACCATAAAATTCCACAACCACACCATATCATTGAGTCTTCTTCACCCCATGCTTTGAATTTAGGATCTTTTATGTTAGATCTGGTACTCTTGAGATGACAAATCTTCTCCTTTCCTTTTAGCATGGTACGAACAAGTTGGAACCACTTAAGGTAGTTTTTACCATTCAGCCTATAAGCAGACTGAATGTTCTGTGTTTCTCCAGGCTGTTGAGGTCAAACATCCTCCTCCAAGTGATTAGTAGTCTCTTCAACTTCTGCCACCTTATGCAACAAAGCACCCTCTAGGTGATTTATGTCCCAATAACTTTAAACAAGAATAACCAGCGAGGAAGGATGGCAGATGCCGGAGGTCATCGGCGATGAAGGCCATTCAATTAAGAGAGAAGAAAGTAAAAAGATTGAAAATAAAGGAGAAACAAAGGTGGTCCCAAGAAAGAAACCCTCTGATACCATCTCAGAGTTTAAAAATTAAACTCTGATTTGTGGGACAATTTCATTCATAATTGAATACTAAATCAATCGGTTAGTGTAAAGAACCAATTTAATCCAAAAGTTTAAGCTGTTGGGTGAGGCTACATTAATGATTTTATATATCTCAACACGTCCCCTCACACGAGAGCCCATTGGGCTTGAAGTGTGGACGATGCATAGGCCCCCCTACCTGTGCGAAGAAAGAAATTGCACTAGAAAGAAAGTGGGAGGCGATGAGGATCGAACCCGGTACATCGAGGCTCTGATACCATGTAAAGAACCAATTCAACCCAAAAGCTTAAGCTGTTGGGTGAGGCTACATTAATGATTTTATATATCTCAACAGTTAGCTATATACACATAAAGTCTAGCAGAGTAGAAAAGAAATTAAAGTTAGATCCCATAATTTGTGGGACATCCTAACTAGTGTGGACCCAGATTTTTTTAAGATAAGGTGCGAAAATAAAATATCAATGTTTCAAATATTATTATATTACAAGAGTTTTTGAGGGAGGTTAACTATTAAGAATAATAATCTATTACTATTACAAAAATAATATTTTATACCTATAAATTAGAGGTGTCAATTTGCAACGCGACCCACTGACATTCACACAAACATAACATGAAAAATTCGTCTACGGGTCGCTCGTTTTCAAATTCGCATCGTGTTTGTGTTAGCAAAAGTTGACACAAAATTCGTATTGTGTTACGTGTCAACCCACAAACACAACATTGATTCACATTAATCTTCTTACAGGTTATTTGTGTCTTATTATATCACGTCAATCCACATGATAAGCAATACACTTTGAGGTTGGCAAGTTACTTGTGTTGTGTCTTATCAACACATATAATGAGCGACATGCTTTGAGATTGTGGGTTATTTGTGCCGTGTCCTGTCAACCAGCAAAATAAGTTGGTTGTGTTTGTGTCGAAGATTTTAACCCGTTTTCAAATTCATGTTGTGTTCGTATTAAGTATATTCATGTTCGTGTCAAATTTGTGACTATCATGTTATGTCGGCCTAAATTGTCAACCCTACCTATAATAATAAAAAAATCTAAGTTTAGGGAGGGGAGGCCGTCAACCCACGCCCTCCCCTGGGTCCGCCTATGATCCTAACAGAATAGGAAACACAATTAAAATGTGCCTAATTCTAGGGATACAATCGGTTATAAAGGAATTTCCTAAAGTAGCTGATTATACACGGTTTTCTACACTATTAGTTATGCATATGTAAATATGTAATTAAATAATTTAGCATGAGGTATTAATAAAAAACAAAGACTTACAAGTTGTTGCCGTTCAAAGAGGCGGCAAACAAGTTCCTATGGAATATAGGAAATGGTTAAAGTTCACATAGTTTCTTAAAATCGCAAAACAAGAAAAGAAAGAAATAAATTAAAAATGAAGAAAAAATATAAATGCAAGATTCTTACACGCTTCCTTGTTGACAAGTCTGCTGCTCTAAGTTTATAATACTGAAGTTGTTATTTGAGAGATCTCTGCATAGAGTTCATAGAATCCTAATCAGAATATGAGATGATGCAACATATCAACTTCATTGAACATTTGATTGCTCACGAGAATTCTAAGAATACCATTAGCAAAATAAGTAAATTTTTCTGCTTGATTATCTTGGGGATATACAATGGGACTCCACAGAAGGAATGATAAAAAATGTATCCTTCAATACAACAAACAAATGATAAAAGTATGTGAAAGGATTAGCTAAAGAAGGAAGAGTTATGACACGTGTCTATTGATCAGAAATACATTTTTGGATAAAAATCAACACTCCAAGATTACATAAACTAGAAATAAGAGATTTGCGTGAAAAATGTTGTGTAAACTTTTTTGGACCACGTGTGCATATATATATATATATGGGAAGTATCCGTTTACAAACTTTTTTTACAAATTACACTAAGTATGACCGGTCATACTTAGTGTAGTTTATAAGAATTTGTAAACAAAAAGTTTATAAATATAATCTTCCCCGTATATATATATATATATATATATATATATATATATATATATATAATGTGATCATAAATGCTCGACTCTTGGATCAACTGCTTCAACCAAATGAGCTCACAAGTAGCAATTGTCATTGCCCGTTACTCAACCTCTGCACTCGATCTAACCATAAGGTCTCTTCTTGCTTTTCCATAAAATCTTATAACCGCCAAAGAGAACATAATAACTAGAAATAAAGCATCTATCCGAGGGAGAACCTACCCATTTAGCATCAGTATACCAATAAAACTCCATATGCACTTTATCTTTGTGTAAAAGGCATTTTAATGGTGCTCCTTTAATGTATCGAAGAATATCAACAGTTGTCTCCCAATGAAAATCACATAGGAAGTCAAGAAATCGACTTAGCACGCTCACTACAAAAGAAATACTTGATCTCGTTATCGTAAGATAATTTAACTTCACAACCAACCTCCGATAACAACAAGGGTTTGTCAGTGGCTCCCTTTTTCCTAATAGAAGTTTGACATAGGGATTTATAGGTGAGTCAATGGGCTTTCATCCTAACATTCCAATTTCTTCCAAGATATCCAAGCCATCCTTCCTTTGAGAGATGGAAATGTCATATCCCGATTGTGTCACTTCAATGCCTAAGCAATAACGGAGTTTGTCAAGGTCCCTAGTCTAAAAATGTTTGAACAAGTGTTATTTGATTTGTTCAATACCAACTCGTTCACTGCAAGTTATTACAATGTATCCCGTAAAAACAAAGAGACAGATGTACCGATTAGAGAAAATTAGGTTGATCGAAAACAGAATGATCGACTTCATTACGAGTTAAGCCAAACTCCTGAACAACTAAACTGAAGCGACTAAACCTGTTGAGATATATAGTCTCACATTGATTGTATGGGCAACTAATGTGGCCTTTATAAGGCCTTGGGCACTCCCACCCTTTGAGCTAGCTTTTGGGGTGGTGTATCCCAAAGTTCTTTACATGGTATCAGAGCGGGTTCGTTCCTACCCTAATTCAAATCTGAAATAACCATCCAAACACTTCCATCACCGTCAAACACCTCCTAAACACCGCCTTGAATCTGTCCAACACAGAAACCTAGTTTACTGACCTCCGATCAAAAAAGTGAGGTGACCATTCGACTCAGAAGGATCCGACGAGTTGACCGCCGCTGGACCCATCGCCGTCAGCCGCTGCACGCGCCACCACGCGCCGCCTTCCAGACGTTTTTTTTTCCGTCGCGACTTGCACAGACCTTCTCGCCGGCTTCTCCCCTTCCTGTTCCAGAGGTCAGATTAAAAGTTTACAAAACTTGATTTTTCATCAACGGTCAACCCTTCTCTTTTTATTCATGGCTTCCTCAAAACACTCTTTTTATTACCACGAGCAACCTCCTAAGGCCACTAGTCATGTGGTCCAGCAAGGTACAACTTTCCATGTTGATAGTCAAAATCATTGGATCCTTGATTCTGGAGCCTCTGATCATATGACAGGTAATCTTGGCTTGTTTTGTTCATACACTCCATATTCTGAACCTTCTCGGGTCAAGATCGCCGATGGCAGTTTTTCCCAGATTGCGGGACACGGCACCATTAAACTTTCTGAGCTGATTACTTTGACATCAGTTCTTTATGTTCCTTCTCTGACTTGTAATCTCATTTCCATTAGCAAGCTCACCTCTGAGTTGCATTGCTTTGCTAAATTCTTTCCACATGGTTGTGTTTTTCAGGAACAGGACTCGGAGAGGATGATTGGCAGTGCTAGAGAGGATGGTGGACTTTACTACTTTGAGGAGGATGTGACTCATGAAGCTGTTTTCGTAGAAAAAAACTCTATGTTTCCTTTTGATTCATGTAATGATGTTATGCTGTGGCATCGTAGGCTAGGCCATCCAAATTTTATTTATCTTCAGAAGTTGTTGCCAAACTTATTTATTAATAAAAGTCCAAGTTTGTTTTCTTGTGATATTTGTCAACTTGCCAAGCATACTCGTGCTCATTATCCTTCTAAAGTTCACCATGACTCTTCCCCATTTTCCTTAATTCATAGCGACATATGGGGTCCAGCCCGTGTTAAAAATATTTCAGGTACTCGATGGTTCATTACCTTCATTGATGACCATTCTCGAGTTTGTTGGGTGTATCTTCTAAAGGATAAGTCCGATGCTGCATCCGTGTTTAAAAAATTTCATGCCATGGTTCAAACCCAATTCCAAGTTGCTATACAAATTCTTCGTACAGATAATGGCAAAGAGTATTTTAACTCTATTCTTGGAGAATATCTTTCCCAACATGGCATCCTTCACCAAAGCTCGTGTCCTGACACACCCCAACAAAACGGAGTTGCGGAAAGAAAAAACCGACATCTCCTTGAAGTTGCTCGGGCTCTTATGTTTACCACGAGTGTTCCTAAATATCTTTGGGGAGAGGCAGTCTCGTATCTGATAAATCGAATGCCATCTCGCATTCTGAAATTTCAGTCTCCTCTTTCTAGTCTTGTTCGTATCTTCCCTTCCTTCCGAGGTGTCTCCTCCTTACCTCTCAAGTTATTTGGTTGTGTTGTATTTGTCCATATTCCCTCCCATCAACGGTCTAAGCTTGATCCTAAGTCTCTCCAGTGTGTCTTTATTGGTTATTCTCCTACTCAACGTGGCTATAAGTGTTATTCACCCTCTCTTCGTAAGGTCTTTGTCTCTATGGATGTCACTTTTTCTGAGAATGACCCTTTCTTCCCCTCGACTTCTCTTCAGGGGGAGTCTATAGGAGTAGATGAAGATCAGTCATGGGAACCTATTAATGCCACAGTATTACCTCTACTTTTAGAAACAGGGGGAGCTACAGAATCCTCACCATCAGGAGCCTCCTCAAAATGGGGACAAGTCTATAGCAGGCGAAAGCCTCCTCAAAGTGTGAATAACCCAGAGCCTCTACACTGCCAGGATTCTGAACCATGTTCTAGTTCCAGCACCCCAATACTTGAGTGTCATGGTGAAAATGATCTACACTTGCCCATTGCTCTCAGAAAAGGTACTCGATCTTGTACTACTCATCCTATTTCTAATCATATTTCATATGGAAAGTTGTCCCCAGGGTTTCGTGCTTTCAATACTATGTTGGATAGTACAAAGATACCGAGAAATATACATGAGGCTCTCAATGATAAAAAATGGAGGGATGCTGTCTTTGAAGAAATGAATGCTTTAGAAAGAAATGGAACTTGGGAGATAGTGACCCTACCCAAAGGAAAAAAGGCAGTAGGATGCAAATGGGTGTTTACAATAAAATTCAATGCAGATAATAGCATCAACAGATACAAGGCAAGATTGGTTGCAAAGGGTTTCACTCAGACTCATGGGATAGATTATCATGAGACTTTTGCTCCGGTTGCTAAAGTCAATACCATCCGAGTTCTCTTATCTCTTGCTGCCAATCTAGATTGGCCTCTGCAACAGTTAGATGTGAAGAATGCATTCCTAAATGGTGACTTACATGAAGAAGTCTATATGGATCCTCCACCTGGTTTTGAAAAGTAGAGGTAATACTGTGGCATTAATAGGTTCCCATGACTGATCTTCATCTACTCCTATAAAACCAAGCCCCAAGTTACTGCTTCAAACCATACAATGATTTGTGGAGTTCGCACATTAACCCAAACGCTCACTGAGTAACAAAGTCAGGGTGTTGCTCCATTTTCTAGAATTCGGATAGACTTGAATGTCCAAGACGAGTGTGAATGAGGTCAGGAGAACCCATCATGGTGCATACCACTGGGGAACCGGGCATAGAAAGATGTTAAAGGCCTCATGACTCACTATCGACACCAATCATCCTCCTCGTAATTGGACCATGCACAAGAACAAGGTTTTTAGTAAAGGCAATGGAACAATGAAGAGAATGAAAGAGTTGACTCAATGAAATTAAATTAAAAGGGAAGTCAGGGACATAAAGAACCGATGTTAAAGGTTAATAAATACACAATTGTGTTTGTCCAATGCTGGGAACAACTTTCTTCGTACAATAAGCAAGGGCAACTAAACATAAATTGTCACAGTTGGTATGAGAGGTGAGAAGATCCATATTACCATTGAGATGATTAGAAGCACCAGAGTCAATTATCCACAACTCAAGAGATGGTTTAGAGAAGCAAGCAATAAGACTATCGGTTTGGGAGGTAGCCATAAATTGAAGAAAGGCTTCCTAGTTTGGACTCGAAACAGCCAGAATAAAGGCAGGAGAGGCTAGCTCATTGTGAGCAAGATCATAGAAGTAGGATTGCCATGTTTCGTTTATCAACGTTCCTCCAAACGTCCCAACTTACGATAGAAAGAGCATCATGGTTTGTTACCACCACAACCATTGTTACTACTACGTGAGACAAGATCGTAGTCTCCCATTGGAACTTTTAACTGGACCACCGGAAAAATGTTGGAACAAGGACGTAATGCCTGAAAATTATAGGAAAAAGTCATAAGAGAAGGCCCTCAAATAGGAAGGACAAAATCTGGATGGATCTGACCTGAAACACACACACAAAAATAGCCGAAAACATTAACAACACAAAAAAAAGTAAAGGATGCCTGAAAAGACCAAATGGAGTGGACCCATCAATGGGGAAAACCAGATTTGGACATAGACGGACAAGGCACACTAATCTATGGTGGTTTGGATACTGGTTCAGGGCACATGATCTGTGCAAAATGGTCGGCCTGGAGGAGACAAGTCGAATTGCTGAATAATTTGGCCAAAAAAGTCTCAGGTGATAGTGATCAACGACGTAGATAGCGACTGGGATTGCTAGAGATGCTACCATGGTGGTTGGATGACTAGTGGCATGTCAAAAAGATGCCAGTAGGACTCACGGCAAGGAAGGCTTGTTGGCATGATGTGCAGTAAAGAAGACGGCTGCTAAGAAGTGGGTCCAATGGGATTAGGGTCTTGCAGAAGCAACAAAATCTCCCAAATTGGGAACTCTTGTACCAACTTCGAAATTAGATATTTGAGTGAAAATTGTTGTGTCTCATCAGACCACACGTACTTTGTTTATATATTGATGTCAAAATCAATTACAATAATTGAAATTGATCTAATAGATCCTAATCAAATAATCCTAATTAGATACATTCAAATACTAATAAGATATTATAATATTCTAACAAAATATATTTCAGAATGAATTCATTAAGCTTTTAATATAAGACAAACCATGATGTTGGCAACCTGGGAAGTTGGCTAAAACAGTTGTTATCAGAGTTGAAAATGGGTAAGTAAAACACATGCAAAATGCAATTGATATCTTTTGGCTTTGTTACGCAACCAACTCTCTAAAAACTTAAGCTATTAGGTTAAGAAACAACTGGTTTTTACATTATAGTTATAACACACTCCCTCATAAAAGAATCTAATTGAAGGGTGGACAATGCACAGGCCCACCGATCATGTGCGAAAAAAATTCCACAAGGCGACAAGGATCAAACTCTAGACCACTTAGGAGAGGCAGTGATACTATGTCATGCAACCAACTTTCCCAAAAACATAAATTGTTAGATGAAGACACATGAATGATTTTTATATTATATTTCTAACAAGCTTAAATGTTGCCTTCAACTTGGTTTTTCACGAGAAGACAAAACATGTAGAGGTTTGATGTTTCATTCGAATGAAGATGGAGTTAAGGTTTGATAATCTCATTCAAAAGGCAAGAGAAGGTGTATACACACACACATGAAGCGAAAGCTACAATTCTCAAATGAGAAAAACAAAAAGAAATTACACATTTGATAAATTCAAGAAATCCTATAAGTAGGTAAGTAGCATTTGAAGGACAACTTACACAAAGTCTGGTTTATCTATCCAGTCAGGCAGCGAGCCAGACATAAGATTCCCTGATAAAACGCTGGTGAAATCAATATCAAAAAGTCAATTTATAGAACTCAAATTATTGATGAACAAGAAAAATGGTAAATAGGCTGGTAAACCCTATTCCAAGTAATTTAGAGTTTCCCAAAGGATTCTTATATTCACTTATCTAGTTTGGCAGCATCAATATTTGTTTCAATTCAGTCACCAAAATAAACCAACCCAATGTCTAGCATAAAAATATCTCTCTTCTTTCCTTTACTCCATTTGGTCCTCTCTATTTCTCTTTCTATAGCTTTAAAAGTATTTTTATTCCTCCCAAATAAGCAGGAATAAAATTCTCTGACAGAAAAATGGTTTTTTGAAGAGGTACAAATATATTACCTGAAACATTAAAAGAAAATCAAATGCTGGATGTACATGTGAATTTCAAATAAAAAATAAAATAAAATAAAAAAGAACATAGTTTTGTAAAAATATAAATCAGAGATAGTCTTATTTAAACTTTAAACAATTATATTGATGGTTGGCACTTCAAAATCCTATATCCAGAGAAAGATCGTTTCTGGATTTCTTACAAGAAATCATAGCTATTAAATGAAACCAAATAGTAACATCCACCTATTAAAGAAAATATGTCTCCAACTCAAAGTTATCATATCAGAAACTACATAAAATTTCTTACAGCATATACAAATTCTTTAAACCGTCCATGCTTATCGGGATTTGACCACTTAATTTGTTGTAGCTGAGATCTCTGAAAAAGATATCCAGAATACGCTCTGTTTTAGAGAAAATGGAACATAAAATATAGAAACGTGTTGAAGTACTGCATCAATGAGTATAAAATGCAATGATTATATATATAAGTTTCTAAATATGTTCAAAAAGCCAGCATGAAAATTCGAAAGTTAGCATCAACCAAACAAAATGGGGAAGAAGTAAAGCAGCACTTACATCACTTTCAGATTAGTCAACATTCCAATATATTCGGGCATTTCTCCAATAATATTGCAACTTCTCAAGATTCTGGAACCAATAAGACCATATGTAAATATGGGGCAGCAATCTCGTCTTATTGCAAATCCCTAAAACATTGCCTTATTGAGGGCATTAAATCATGGTAGAGATAATAATAATCATAATAACAATATAAGAGCATTTAATTTAACTCACAGTTGCACCAAATTTGTCATATTATTCAGTTGTGGAAAAGGCGAATCAGATCCATTCAAGTCAGTAATTCTCCTGCATATCATATTTTAAGCATGGCTACGCACAAGAGAAAAAAAAAAAAAAAAAAAAAAAACTAATTTTAAAATCTTGGTTACATTATAAAAAATCATGCTTACAAGTCAGTAAGGTTTTTCAAAAGTGAAATTCCAGAAGGAATTGGCCCACTCAAACCACTCCCTTGCATCACGCTGAGAAAATAATAATAATAATAATAACAACAATAACAGCTCCAGATAAAATGTCAATATGTAAAACATCTAAAGTCTACAAAAGAAAAGGGAAAAAAAATTCATACAGCATCTCAAGATTTGTCCAGTTCTGTATAAAATTGGGTATTGGTCCAGAGAATTGATTGTCGCCAATTCGACTGCATTATAGGAGGGTAAGCAATAAATAGAAGTTAGAAGTTCAATAAAAATACAGTCTAGCATAATAAAATAAATAAATAAAAAACAAAAAGATGCTTACAAATGCTTCAATGCAGTGAGCCTAACAAAAGTTGCAGGTAACTCTCCAGTGAAGTTGTTGGAGGTAAGAAGCCTACAGCAACATGAAATGAAACAATAAATTAAAGGCATTGAACATGCACCAAATAATCAATCAACTAACACTAAAGATTATAAGTAAAATTCATATAAAGGGCTTACAGTCTTTCAATCTGGGAAAGATTCCCAAGCTCTGGAGGAAGATTTCCAGACAATTGGTTGAACTCCAATACCCTGTCAATTTATAATAAAGTTCCTCTAAAACCTTCCACCAAAAAATTGAAATGGTAAAAATTGAAATGTGGAAAACCAGAAACTTACAAACTTTTGAGAGTGGTGATGCTTCCAAGCTCCTTTGGAATTGGACCCGTTAGACGGTTCCCATAGAAGGAACTTTACCAAAAGAAACAACACAAAATTCATTCATGTTTCATGAAATTAGTCCAATTAAAAAGGTTTAAGAAACAACAATAGTGTCCACAACAGTGAATCCGGACACCAAAATCACTCTGTTAAATCCCAACTAAAGAGTGTATGGGTAAAGAATACAATGCAACGACACTCACCACTCAAAAAGTGTCCACCTCATATTTTTAATATATATAACATAATTTATATTTATTATGTATAACAGCGCATAATAAGTCATATAACTAATCAAATATTTAAAGTTTATAACATAAATATAAACAAAAATAATTTTTTGTACCTTGTTAATTTTTCATGTCAAAATTCATAACAGAGAAAAATTGATTTATAAATTAATTTTCAATTTTAGTTAATAAAATAAAATTTAGTTCTGAAAAAAAAAATATGTCGGATGTGTGTCAAAGCGTTGATTGCGTGTCGAAAACAGTTGACTGCGTGTCGAAAAAACGTGTCGAAGCGTTGACCGCGTGTCCCAAAATATTGACCATGTATCAGACGCGTGTCGATGTCGGTGTCAGAAGCGTGTCGTTGTCCGACACGTGTCCCACACGCAATTTTTGCAAATCGGAGCGTGTTCGTGCATATGAGGGTAAAGATATAACTACCTTTATTCATGCATTTTACAACGATAATATTTTTTAGATTTTTTTATACGGGAGAAGTTATAGTTATTATCTCTTTTTCTTACTACTTGTTACTACTAAATCGTAATATTTGATTTTCGTCAATCTAACGATTATAATTTATTAAAAATTAATAATTAATTAATAAGTATGACCCAATAAATTATAACTGTTAGATTGACGGAAATTATAACCTCTCCCTTTTTATATATAAAAAATGGTCATATATTCATGTTATTTCATGTTAAATAGGTCAGACCGTGTGAAAATTCTTTGGACAGCCTGGCTTTTTAACTTGTGTAGGCCCAAATTACAAGTCTGGCCTATTTAAAAAATACAAGTCTTGGCCTAGGTCTATTAGCCTGTTTAAGCCTATTATACATTTAATAATTAAAAAATAACTAAAATAATATTACTTTATTATTCAAAATTATTAAAATAATAATTTTATTTATTTTATTTAATATAAATAATATGATATAGGTCAGTTGGTAAGTTTATAGGCCCGACATGTAAAAAAAAACCTATGGCCTGTTTTCTAAATAGGTTTTTTTAAAAGCTTATACATGTTCTATTTGACTATTTGTAATAGGCCAAATTTAGCCTAATATAGACTAGGTCGTAAACCTCTGTAGGCCGGCCTAATCCATTTATAGCACTAATAACCACTTATTTAAAAATCATACACTTTTTTCTTTTTTCTTTTATTATCAATAAATAATTGTGATCAAATAAATTAAATTACCACTTATCAAATCCATGTTCACATTCTCAAATAAACTTGTTATTTTTTTATATTAATAGGAAAAACACACACAGAGAAAGACAGAGAGATTACACGTTGACTAGTTTTAAGGTGGCCCATTGTTTAGGGATTGTACCATTCAGATAGTTGAGGGTGAGGTCACTGTAACAAAGAAATAAAAGAAACTAATCAACTATATGCAAACGAAACTATACATATATAATTGAACAGTAAGACTGTAATTTTAGAGTGTCCACATACATTTCTTGGAGATAAGCTAACTTGACAAGATCCGGTGGGAGAGTACCAGAAAGATTTTGTGCTTTTAAAACACTGCACAGCCATTAAACCATCAAAGTTGTTAAAACTTAAAAAGAGAATAACCAAATGGGACTCTTCTGTGCGTCAATAATTTTATTTTATGGGACAAATAGCTGCCAAATCTTTGAAATTGCACCCACGAAGGATGTGTTCTGTGCCAAGCTACGAAGCACCGAAAAATTCTGATGTGTCGTGTCTGACATTTTTCGATACTCCGACACTTTCTGACACTCCAATACGCATTGTAGAAACTTAAAAAATGGTTCAAAGGTTGCATTGCGTTGCATTTTTAGTTCCAACTACTAGATTCATTGGATTACGATTACCATTTTATTTAGTTTAATATAAATATTTGGGATATCTTATGTTTCTTTGTAAAACTGATGGGTATTATAAGTTTAACTTTATTTTTTTGTTAAATTATTGAATATTAAATATAATATACACTACATAAATTAAAAATATTATTTAATATCAAAACATGTCCTAACATGTCAAAATCTAATGTTTTTTAAAATTAACGTGTCGGAGTGTCGTATCGTGTCGTTTCACGTGTCCTGTGTCGGTATAACTGCCAAGTAAAACCAATGTTAAGATACTGAGTTGATCTGTAATCGGTTGAATCATTCGGTTACTTTTGAATCAAATTTAAATATTACCAAAAAGATTTAAATAAAAATAGGTAATAAATACAGAGCAATTTTATATTTACCATCTATTTTCTCTTACAACTATATCTAGGTACATCTAAATCAAATCACCTGGCCTCGCATTAATAACCGTTAATTTAATTTTAGTTCAATGATAATGAATATGATTTTTACCAATCCACTATTATTCTAATATAATTATGTATTTTGGGAAATGTATTAAAAGCTATTTTTTTTTCTTTTCAGAAACTTTTCGGATATTGTCTATTGAAAAGTAGGATATAATAAGGGTTCGCTTTTTCTGCAGTTACTGCAGATAAGTACTTATCTGCAGTAAGCCTAATACGACGTCGTTTTGGGGCAGAAATCATGGTGTTTTTGTAATTTTAATTTATTTCAGAGTTATAATAGTCTTTATATTTATAATTTTTTAAAATTTCAATATCAAAACGACGTCGTTTTGGAAATAAATGCAGATAACTAATCTGCAGTAACTGCAGAAACATTTTTCCCATATAATAATGATCAAAGTGGTAATAAATTAATGAGATCATTTTTTCTGCACTTAATGGTAAATAGGTTATGCACACTGAGTTCAAAACGATGTCGTTTTAGGACGGAAATGAAGATATTTTTGTAATTATAATTTATTTCAGGGTTATAATAGTCTCTCTTATTATAAATTTTTAATTTTTCAACCCAAAACAATGATAACTTATCTACAAGCTTAAATTAATAGTAAAAATATTCAATAGTAAAAATAGAATATATACATATATATATATATATATATATATATATATATATATATATGGGGCAGGTTATATTTACAAACTTTTTTGTTTACAAACTCTTACAAACTACACTATATTCTCCCGGGAGAATACAAACTTTTACAAACTACACTATATTTTTCTCGGGAGAATATAGTGTAAATTGTAAAAAAATTCAAAAAAGTTTGTAAACGGATCATGTCCCTATATATATATATATATATATATATATATATATATATATATATATGGGAAATGATCCGTTTACAAATTTTTTTATAAATTACACTAAGTATGACCGCTCATACACTCATTTGTAAATATAACTTTTATATATATATATATATATATATATATATTTATGTGTTAATTAACATAATTAAAAAAAAAATCTTAATAATTCATACATAGAGAAGGAGAAAAATGAAAAAGGAAAAATATATATGACATAGATAGATAAATAGATAGAGGTGCAGCTGTCAGCTATAAAACAAAAAATTTAAAAACAGATAGCATGAAAAACTCTTTCCAAACAAGATTTTTTGTTTTATTATATTTAAAATTTAAAAACTATTCTGGAAAACAGGAATGAAAGAGAGCCTAATAACCCGTGTGCTAGAGATAGATAGTTATAGATGCAGCTATCAGCTATGTAATAAAAAACTTCACAACCTGTGTGCTAGTACCCACTTGGTTTGGTCTGAATCCCAAGCAGTGGCAGTGGGGAATCGAGAAAAAATATTATATCTGCACATTCAGATTGGGTTCGGGGGTAGGGTCTCGAAATTTTTTCCGTAAACAAAGTTTAAATTAATGTTTGAACCCGCTCATAATTTAGTTGCTTCTATAACATGCTGCAGGTAATAGTTTGACGAATTATTTTCTCCCTAGATCTTATCAATCCTCCAAAACAAATATGAGAATATACTCCAGTACATCCATACATCATCATTCTATTTTATACTGGTGAATAAAAAAGTCAACACTAACTATTCAGAAGCCAAGCAAAATCACAGTGAAGATCTCGTCTCTAAATATTAACTTATTTGAGAATGTCAAACCTGCAATCAATCATCTCTTTTTATAAAAATGAAAAGGAAAACAAAGGATGAAGAGAGCATGGGAATGAATACGTGATAGGGGAGGAAGAATAAGTTTTCTTTCTAATCAATAAGTTTTCAGTAGATTTGGTCCTTTTTGAGGGACTAATGTAGATCTTTTTTGAATTTGTGAAGGATTTTAACTAAATTGATCTACTTTGAATTTTTTAGTAACCTCGAAACTAAACTTTTTTGTAAGGGACTAAAATGGGAACCATGTTTTTTTTAGAGACTTAAAAGAGTATTTACTCTTAATATAAATATTGAACCAAGAGACAAATAAAAATATGCAACAAAGAAAAAAAAAACTAAAATAAAAAATTTAATGTCTGCCCTTGCGGACATATGTCCACAAGTGGGTCCGCCTGTGATCCCACGTGATTTGTCTGAGTATTCAATTAATTATCTCTAGCATTATTGTAGACAGAACAATGAGAGAGAGAGAGAGACACAGAGAGAGTAAGTAAGATGCGTACATGCTAACAACATGGCAGAGAGTGTTATTGTTAAAAGAGCAATTGCATTTGACAGCATTTTCTGATGCTTGTAATTGAATAGGTGATGTCCAGTTACTCTTTCCGCTACATGGATCTACGCTGAAGTCCCAATTCTGCTTCCCAATTGTGTTAGCTATGTCTTTCAGAGCTTGCACTGATTATGCAAATATACATACAGAGACGAGAAGCAAAAGCCATTTATATAGCTATTACTAATTTTTTTTATTTTTTTTCATGATATATACTCACACACACATATACACACATACACAAGAAATATGTGTAGGATTATTAACTCCTTGAAATAATCAAACAACAACATGAAATCAAAGCAAGAATTACCTTCATCTTCTTGTAGAGTGGCTCCAAAAGCAAATGATGTAAAGCAGAAAGGGAGGAATAAAAGGAGAGGAAATAGAGGAAAGAAAGTCATGTTTTTGGCTGATTGGATATGAATGGAAAATACCTGACCCTTAAAAGAATCAGAGACATGCCGTAGGAAATAATTGAGATAGTAGATAGGTGAGAACAGTGACGCATTTTAAAAATTTAAGATAGTGAGACAAGTTAGGTCAATATACAAACATTTTGCTAATGGGACCACTAACAGTCACTGTGATTGCATCTCCATTTGGTCTTTCATTAACCGTGATTGAGTCATTTACTATTTTCACTTCGAGGAAAATCGGTGGCATGAAAATGACTCAGTCAACTTCATAATAAAACAAAGGGGAAAGTACTTCTTATGTGACTGTAGAAGGGAAAACTTGCAGCAACACAGGATACGTGTCCGAATTCTGGTTTTTTTTTTTATAGAATCCACACGTGTATCTTAGGATCCGCACGTGTATCCTAGTGTTAAAAATTTGCTATCAGCAGTCACATGAGAAGCGACGGACCCTAAAAGAAAAATACAAAAGACATTGACGGCAAATAAAGTAATCGTATATTTACACAAAAATTTAGAAACTGGGGGCGGCCATGTGCATTACAATCTTTGATGTGAATATTTTGTGAGAATATAAAATAGAAAGATGAACTAACAAGTTAAAGTATTCGCGTAGGCCAGTTGACTGATAATAGAAAATATGTATCTACCATGTTGATGTTTGTCTTTATCCCCCGAGTTTAAATTGTCTTACAGTTCAAATCGATTATTTGTTTAAGAAGTTTTTTATTTTCCCAGCAAAGAGTTTTTTATTGTCTTACAGTCTCAAACTACCATGCATATATGTTGTGAAGCACCGACACTTCAAAAACTCTGACGTGTCGTGTCCGACACTCTCCGACTTCCCGACACTTCAACGCGCGTTGTAGAAACTCAAAAAAAAGTTCAAAGGTTGTGTTGTGTTGTGTTGTGTTTTTATTGAATTTAATATAAATATTTATAATATCTTATGTTTCTTTGTAAAATTAATGGGTATTATAAGTTTAGCTTTACTTTTTTGTTAAATTATTGAATATTAAATTAATATATGCAACATAAATTAAAAATATTATTCAATATCAAAACGTGTCCTAACGTGTTAAAATCTAATATTTTTTAAAATTAACGTGTCAAAATGTCGCGTCGTATCATGTCTCGTGTCCTATGTCGGTATCGGTGCTACATAACCTATATGTACAGACAGCTATGTATCTTACGAGATCAAAGTCCAACAGGCCCAAGCCCAAACAATAAGATCCATGATACAGGCCAACAAGAAGTCAAAAGAGCAACACAGACTAACTTGCCCCCATGTGATAACTAAACCACGCGCCACAAATCACAATAGAGGGAATAACTGAATCTGTTAGTTTGTTATGTCCGTTGAGAAAGTAGTTAGAATTAGTTTCTAATCTTCTGTTATTCTACTTAGTTAAGACTTATGTATAAATATATGACTCTTGCATTGAGTCCAGTAATTAATAGAAATGATTCATTCTTTCGATTTCAAGAATATATAAGAGATTATATTTTGAAAATCTTATACGTACACTTCACATATTTTTTTATCTAAGTTTTTAGATAATTAATAATACTATATTACATATAACACTCAGATACCACTATTATTTTTTGCGGACAGATAGATATGGGATAAGTGGTCCAACTCAATAATAGTCCAAGAGGCCCATGTAAGAATTATTTTAACCCTGGATTATGTATATGATTATAAAATATCAAACAATATGAAATTTAATTTGGGATTGTGCGTACCTAGTTGGACCATCATAAAGTCGCAAGAAGAAAGAAGGGACAACATGCTAGAATCTTCCTCTCTATGACCTATTTCGAAAGTGGCAGCCTCAGCGATGGGAGCATGACGGCTTATGGGACTTAATCCTAATATAAATAGGCTAGAGAGGGGGACCTAGCCAAATACCCTAAAAAGAGTTGTGTCCACTGGGTCCACCCATCACGAAAAACCAGGATCACACTAAAGCCTACATTGCTGCCCAACTACGCTCAATACCAACAGATGTCAAAAGCCCAACTCAACATGATCACAACGAGCTTATCAAAATATTCATTAACCCGATTAATTTTAAAACCGAAAACTGATTAATTAATATTGCTCACATAAAGAAAAATTCTAATATTCTCCCACTTGGGTTATGTTACTTAATTTAATATTATTTTCAAAATCATTTTATTTTGAAAACGACTCTATCAGGTTAATAACTAAAAAATCATTTTACGTGGCCACGATTTTGAAAAATAATATTCCAATTCCAATACTAGCATCTCAACACAATTCAATCCAACATAACCCCATCATAGGAACATGGCGATCAATATACCGAAAATATCATAGCATATGACCTTCTATACTCACATACAATGAGTATTACATCTTCATGAATCAAGGCCCAGTAGTGTAGTAAGAATTAGTGTCAAAATGTGATCAATAATCTAACACACTAATTCTTATCGGTCCTCAATGTAATTTCTCAACAACATGAAATTACATTAGTGCAATTTCCAAGCAACATGAAATTACACTCCATAATACAATTTCTCATCAACATGAAATTGTATTACCACAATTTCTAAACAACATGAAATTGTCTTTCTCAATCCAATTTCTTAACAACATGAAATTGAATTATCGCAATTTCCAAACAACATGAAATTGCCTTTTTTCAATCCAATTTCTTAACAACATGAAATTGAATTACCACAATTTCCAAACAACATGAAATTGCTTTTCTCAATCCAATTTCTTAACAACATGAAATTGAATTATCGCAATTTCCAAACAACATGAAATTGCCTTTTTTCAATCCAATTTCTCAACAACATGAAATTGTATTACTGCAATTTCCAAACAACATGAAATTGTCTTTCTCAATCCAATTTCTTAACAACATGAAATTGAATTATCGCAATTTCCAAACAACATGAAATTTCCTTTCTCAATCCAATTTCTTAACAACATGAAATTGAATTATCGCAATTTCCAAACAACATGAAACTGCCTTTTTTCAATCTAATTTCTTAACAACATGAAATTGAATTACCACAATTTCCAAACAACATGAAATTGCCTTTCTCAATCCAATTTCTTAACAACATGAAATTGAATTATCGCAATTTCCAAACAACATGAAATTGCCTTTTTTCAATCCAATTTCTTAACAACATGAAATTGAATTACCGCAATTTCCAAACAACATGAAATTGCCTTTCTCAATCCAATTTCTTAACAACATGAAATTGAATTACCGCAATTTCCAAACAACATGAAATTGCCTTTTTTCAATCCAATTTTTTAACAACATGAAATTGAATTACCGCAATTTTCAAACAACATGAAATTGCTTAGTTTAAATAAACCAACATGTCACAATACAACATGAGATCTCAAAATTTGTGACATCCAATCATCTTTAAGCTCACAACATGCTTAAAGATACTATTCATACATATATTCTCAGTCGACAGGAGAAATAACAATAATGATGATCATCAATTATTAAAATTCAAACAAAGATCACAAAAATCATCATCAGTTTGCATGACCAAACAGGAAAACTGAATATAACTCCCACTAATCAAGGGAATCAAAAGAATCTAAAACACTCAAAAGAAAGCCTCGAGTACAACTCCCACTAATTAAGGGAATCATAAGAATTTAAAGTACTCATATATACAAAAGAGGCTACTTCAAGGTATTTCTTATAAACCTTTTTAGATAAAAAAAATCTTTTATAAATGTGATCTACATAAAGTACTAAGAATATACATCTACTCCCACTTACTTTAATGTAGATGCACTTGTCAAATATCTTTAAATTCATTAAAAGGAATTAACAAAATTCACTGTTAAGGCAAAAAGAATGCATCCAAATACAACTTCAATTAAGGCAAGTTATTACAACGAGGCCAACAAAATAGCATATTTCCCTTTGGGCAAGATGCACATGCCAAGGTTTAAATCAAGGTTAAAGCCCCAGATGAATCAATCAATGAGTATACACTAGTTTCAAAGATCTGCACCCCTAATAACTTTATTATAAACAAGCTCTAATTAAAACACACAATAACCCCCTTTGGGCAGAAAATTGCATGAAATAACCAGAAGCATTCCTCAAATTTACAAAAACTTTACATGACAAATAAATCAATCCCACTTTAGTGGTAATACATATAGTAATTCATAGAAATTTACAAATCGTTCCCATAATCATGATGCATTCCACAAGAAGGTGTAACACCCTCACTGATCACGAATTTAAATACATTAGCAAAAAAAAATATTTGCACTTAAACAGTTCAAGCGGAAGCATATAACTCATTAAATAAAAATATTTTATAAATTATACATCTCAATTTCTTATAATTTGACATAGTCAATAATTCAACAATAGCATGGTTGTTGTTGATGGCAAAAATAATTGATTGACATGCACAATGCAATAAGATTAAATTTGGACAATAAGAAAATAATTTATATACCATAAACCCCCCTTTGGGAAGGGAATATAATATATAAATATTTTCTATCACATGAAGATTTGAACAACAAGGAGAATTACATACAATTATAAAAAATCATCCCCTTTGGGCAGACAAATTTTTAAATTATATATATTTCTCCATAATATCACATGTAATTTAAAAATAATTTATCTCCTTTGGGCAGATAAATACTTTTAAATCACGTAATCTAATCAATAATTTCTTCATGTAATTTCCCAAATTATTATATGTAACAACCCCTTTGGGCAGGTAATTAACATATAATAATTCAAAATAATAGATCAGTAATAATGCCTAACAACATGAAACACTTAACAACATGTGTTTCCAACAATATGAAACACTTCACAACATGTGTTTCTAATAACATGATACACTTCACAACATGTGTTTCTAACAACATGAAACACTTCACAACATGTGTTCCAGAAATCATATTGCATTTATCAATCCAATAAATTTCACAT